TTTAAATGAGTCTATCAACCAGAGACACAAAGAAAAAGAAAAACCAAAACGCTATTAGTTTACCCTGATTCCCATCTGAGAGCTTAATAATGCTCCTTTTAATGTTCTTTTAAAAACAGGTAGTGAGGCTCAGGTGTCTAGCAGGTGTAAGTTGATGTTTTTACACCTCTATGTTTAATTGAATTCCTGTTTGAGACCTGCAGGCTTCAAGTTTCCACACCACACCCGTATGAGTCTCATACTGGACCTGAGTGACGTCATTAAACCTGCAGCGGTGTCCAGGTGTTGAGCTTTCCCCCTGTGCTTGTCAGTCACAGAGATACCGAGGATGTCTCTATTCTCCTCAGAAAGATGCAGCGATCAAAAGGCCTGATGCTCTGTCATGTGCCAGAGGGAGACGAGAAAAGGCTAACAGTCTGAAGTTAAAGGAGGACGCTGTGTTTACAACACGTCCCTGCTCCTCAGGCCGGAGGTCCGCCTGGATTCTCTCTGTGTCGCCTGCCTCTTCGCTCTCACTCGCACCGAGCTTCTCACACATTTGTGTGGCTGTCAGTCATCCGAGTCGGCCTTCATCATCATCACCATCATCCTCGTCCTCCCGCGCCGTCACCTTGGGGCTGACTACTGCAGCGTGACGGGTCGCGGTCATGTTGCGACCTTGTCAGATGACACAGCCTGTCGCTGCTGAACTGTAGCTTCACCTTCCAGGGAGCGTTCACGAAGTGTGTTTCTGTGAACCTGCAGATGGAGACAGTTAGTCATACACTATCTGCTCCGGAGCAAAATATCTTCACAGCTGACATGAAATTTGGTTTGATGATCTCTTGACATTGTCCGTAGCGCCACTGTCAAAATTTTCCCCCGACAATCAGTTTGGTTCAGGAGAAGGCGTCTTGAGAACTGAAGACAGGATTCGCTGCAGATACTCCAGGGGCCGGTTTCACAAAGACACACTCTGACTGTGGCTTCGACATAACAAACAGCCAGACTTCAGATAGAGTCTGAATTTATCTGTTGCACAAAGCAGTTTAGTTCTTGACCATCTTAATATGGACTGTGGTGCAATGAATTCTGGGTAAATTGCAACTTTTTTCAAAATAAAAAGAATGGCTGACTGTGGGACCACATCCAACCCCTCAGCTCTGTTAACCTCTGCAGAAAATGTTTGTCTACTGGAAGAATTCAACAGTGACAAGGACGTTTTACTTTACTATTCAGCGAAGAAACGATGAAAAGAAAAATCTGATTTGGGAAAAAAATGGCTGCGGCCTCTAAAAACTCTTTCCCTTCTCATTGCTCTCAAACCACAAATTATGAGCCATGTTTTTCTGTTTTTTTGTTGTTGGGTGCTACTGGTCAGCACAGGTGTCATTGATTGTTACCATGGTAACATTGGTCTCAGTCCTGAGATAGTCAGGGGGAAAGGTGTCTAATGTGTTTGCCTTATAACGAGTCAGTGTGACTAACATTAGACTGATCTATGGAGCAACACTACAGAGCAGTCTGAGGCATCTCTGTGAAATAGGTCTCCACAGGATCAGTCTACCCACGACCCTCTGACCTTTCCTCTTGCCACACTGATTTAAAATTTACTGAGAATATTCATGATCTTCAGAGGTTGAATTTTAGATTGAAGACACTCCACAAGCTTTCCTCTGTGACAAACTGTGTGCAGTTTGTCAAATAGATTTAATATCACTCACTGTCCGAGACTCTCCTTCCATTGAGTGTCTCCTGATTGAACAAATCATTAGTTTGTCACAGAACTGTTGTAGTTCAAAGGTTTCAGGTTCAACGTTGCCTCAGTCCAAGCTTTTGATTCATTATTTTACAAAAAGTTTTTTTGTTCATATTTCGTGACTTAAATTTGTTGCTTCAGTTAACAAAACATTGTTTTTCTGCTCTGTTGGACAACGCCATGTGACTGACTGAAATACTGAAATCCTATAAAAGCCACTTTTCTCTCCTGACTTCACAAAATCAAACTTCAATCAAACCTAAAAAAATAAAAAATAATAACATAAAAAAATAATAATGGGTGGGTGTAGGTGTTGTTTTTTATATTATTATTATTATTGGTTGCCCTCAGCTTGTTCTTCAGTGATTTGTTTTTGTTGATGGTTTGCACCAGTTTCTGTTCATTTTCACCGTCATGCTTTGTGTGTGGTCTCTTTAAGTAGGCGTGGCTCACATACCAAGCCACCTTGTCACATGACCACATTTCAGTGTTTTAAATGACACACCTGTATCTTATTGGACTTGATGAAGTCCTGACCTGATGATGACGTCTTGAGTTGAAACACGCCCGTCTGTCTGACGTATCCATGACTACAGTGTTTGTACCGGTGTGGGGTGTTGACCTGCAGTCGTTAGAGGTGTTCAGTGTCTGTGCCCACAGCCGCAGAAAATCAACCAGAATGAATTGCAGCTGCGAGACAGAGAGGGAGTGAAGACCCAGAACCTGAATCAGAATAACATTAGTTACATAAGATGAAGAGATGGGAGGATGAACTATTAGAGGTCCGTCTGCTGTCTCAAGTGTGTGTGTGTGTGTGTGTGTGTGTGTGTGTGTGTGCGTGTGCGTGTGTGTGAGATAGTACCCACAGTCCATCTGGGACCAGTAAAGGTTATGGTGACAGGTGTAATATCTCCAAGTAGGAGATGTAATGTGAAGTGTGTTATGAGAGCAGGGCTGTGGCCTTTCGTATAGGTTAAGCTGATCACTGACAACATCATCTCCACACACACACACGCACACGCACACACTGAGCAGACAGATGTTAAAATGTCATCTTTAGCTTTGCCTGATTAAATGAGCTGCCTTTATTCCTCGTCCAGTGGAGGGACAGTGAAGCTGTTTGTTTCCCCTACGTTGTGTTGAGCTACAGGAGTGTGTCGGTGTTTGGTGGTGTGGAAGCCAAAATGAGGACCTGTTAGGAAACATCTGGCAGGCTGAGCCCTGAGGACAGAGAGCAGAGATGTGACACCTGTGTACTGAGGAGACACTAAAGCTAACTGTACTGTAATGGACTGGATTTCATTGATACGGCACATAAACTTACACACAAAGGCTCAGTGCAGCCACAACACGTAAGTGAATAAGTTTATTTTTCAGATACAAAATCACACAGAGCTCTACATCAATACAAAAGTACAAAAGTTCCAAACACGGGTGACAAAAATAGACCATTAAACTGCAATAAAATAAAATGGAGCCAGTATTCAGGCACACTAACCAAAAGCCTGTCTGTCTAAATAAAAACATTTTCAGATGCTTCATAAACATTTCACAGGACTCCACTAATGGAAATGATGAGGGGGAGTTTTCCATAAACTGGGAGCCACGGTTTGAGAAACACACTCACCTCTGGTTTTATAACGGGTTGTAGGGACAGCCAGTAACTTCTAACCAGCAGACCTGAGCCTGATTGGCTGTATAAGGAGGATGGGGTCAGCAGTGTAATATACTGAGGTGTTTGACCAATCAAGCACCAATTGCAGGTACACATTCATGACAGACTGGTGCACTTTGAAGAGTTTGTGTAATTATTCTTGATGTTTTGTAACATTATGCTGCAAATATTACAGCTGCAATGTTGGGTCTATTTCCAGCCTTTTAAATGTGTAATAACTTCTCATGTAACCATCACAGAACCACGATTAATGTCTTTAAATAAAGACCACACTGGTACCATTAACTATATGAATAAATTACTGAATTTATTCATCTCCATGAAAACAGAGGACATTGAATACACCTAAAAAAAATAAAAAATAAAGACACTATTTTTTTGTTGTTGTTTTACAGTGACATTGATAAAATATGAATGGTAAAACTCTAGCTTTTACATTTCCCAGTTCCTACATTATTGAACCAAATTCCAGGTTGACATGTAAAAGTACTGAGGTGTTAGTTAGTAAGCAGTGTAGCTGTGTGTCCTTGTATTTGTGCCAAACAACAGTGTGAAGCAGTTTTGTTGATTTCTAATGGACAACTTTGTTTGTTTACAACTGTTTAAATCACTTTTAGTAATTAAAGGAACAGTTTCCAACATTTTGGAAAATAGGCTTATTTGCTGTGATGCTGAGACTTAGATGAGAACAGTGATACCACTCTCATATCTGTATGCAACTGGAGGTGTAGTCAGGACATGGTTAGCTTAGCTTAGCTTAGCATAAAGACTAGAAATAGGGGTAAACACAAAGCCTGATTCTGTCCACGTAATTAACACAGTCTCCTATTTGTTTAATTTGTAGACAAACAGCAATGTATAAAACTGACAGTAGGAGTATGTTTTTAAGGCTGTTTCCTTCTGCTTTTAGCCTTTATGCTAAGCTAAGCTATCCATCCTTCATACGCAGACATTAGATTTATTGATTAGTTATTGCATCTATCTTTACCAGTAAGAATGTGAATTATATACTTTTTGAGTAGAAGAAAGATTTTAGTTTGTCATCTGCTCCCCCTGGATATTAATTAACATGAAAACTCTCCACCAAAGTTTCCTGCTCGGTGCAGGGTGACCTGCAGAACTCATCCTCTTCTAAGCTCCGCTCCGCTCCGTGCTATCAGCTGCGTGCTTGGCTATCGTCTGCAGGACGCTGCATGTTATTAGGATTATCGCAGGGTGGCAGAGGACCAGACGAGCTGCGGGCGCTTTGATAAGTACAAACTACTCGCTCGGCTCCCTCTGAAAAGCTCTTGTTGTTCGACATTTTGGCAGGATAGCCCATCATGGAGAGAGCAGGGCCTTTAGTTGTATTTTTTTTTTTTAGAGAGGTGAACTTTTCAAACCAGCGCACGGGGATCAGACACAGACGGAGCGGCAGCTGCTGCTCCTCTGTGACTGAGGCTGCGCGAGACGACCTCAGCGCTGAAGCAGGATGACATGCTACATGCTATGTGTGATTAAATTAACTTTAAACAGTCCTGAATATTAGATATTAACCCTGTCTCTCCCTCTCTCGTCTCCTCTCTCTCTCTCCCTCTGTGTCTGCAGGCAGTGGAAACTAATCTGGCCTCCAAAGACAGTCACTGGGTGTTTGTGAATGAGGTAAGACATGACACACCAGACACTCACAGTGTGACACTAAACAGTGTCAGACATACAGTCGACTGTCTTCTCCACCATATGACAACATTATGTCACCAGCTATATTTACCCCTGTGGCGGATGTGGCACCTCCTTACATTAATATCTGATGTAGCCCCACAGTCCTGTCAGCGGAGCTCATCTACCCCATCAGCAACACCACACATTATGTTCCAGACATGTTCTACATGGTATTTAACATTGTTCATTGTATTTAAAAAGATTAATTAATTAAATATTTACTACAGTTTAAGTGTCAGTGTTATGATAAGTTTGGCTGTGTTTGCATTCATACTAGTTACATTAGGAGTGGCAGAAAAAACATTAATCACTCCATTTACACCTGACATTAAAATGTGCCTTTCATCCAGATATGATTTTAACCTGATTACATTTACACCTGCTGTTAATATGTGTCTTCAGTGTCCATGTTGAGATCTGAAAAAAAAAAAAAAAAATTACTGCCTTGCAGTTGTTTCCTCTGCCAACCACCCAAGTTGCAGGAAACATGGTCACAGTCTCTCCTTCCTGAGTTACAGTGTTTAATAACAGCCTGAAGTGTTTTTACAGAACATTATGATGTCACAGTGAAATTGACCTTTGACCATTTGGATATCAAATGTCATCACTCCATTTTGTCCTCATGGATATTTGAGTTCAATTGTGTCGTAATTATTCTATGCATTTGTGAGTAATGACCTAAAACCTTTTTGTTTTGTGAGGTCACAGTGACCTTGACCTCTGACCTTTGACCACCAAATTCTAATCAGTTCATCCTTTAATTCAAATTAATATTTGTGCAGAATTTGAAGAAGTTACCCGAAGGTGTTACAGAGAAATCGCGTTCATGGAGAGACCTGAAAACAAAATGGAATAAAAGATAGAAGAAGAAGAAGGAAAGACGAAGTCGGCATCCATCTGTGAAGCTGTGTTATTGTGTTTGCTAATTTATGCAGCTGGCTAACAGCTGCTAGCTGCTATCTCTCATGTAGAACACACGCAATTACGTATTTCCTCCCACATAGTCGTTGTGTATGGATTGACGACACAGTTACATTTACACTTGATCAGCTGATCGAACCACAATCTGTCTTCAGTGTATCTGGGTGGCATTTAATTTTAATGCCAGGTGTAAACCAGGTCTATTGAGCACTTTCAGCGCTCTATTTCAAACACTTTATTAGTAACTTCACTTGTTAACAAACTTACAAACAGGTTTATTTTGAAGTGTTCTGAGACTTGTAATCCTGCAGGATCAGATTTTGGCAGCAGAGAGAATCAAAATAAATTTAAGTCCCTGTGATTTTTTTCTCAGAATTAGCAGCTGGGCTGTGTGATCGTCATCACAGTCAGAGACACGTGAAGAAGTTTGGCTCTCCAAGCATCTCTCAAACTTTTTCTTTTCAGGCTGTTTTCTGATCACAATCTCACACCGCTGAGACTGGGACTCACATTTTCACACCTTCAGGCTTTTATTTGGTGCCAACAGAGTTCAAACGTCCTCACTCTTCAAATCAAACAAACTGCGGATTGATGGTCTGGACCTGATTTAAACGTCTCTCTTAAACCTGACATGAACTCTCTGAAGCAACATTTAGCTCACATGACACCAAGAAGCACTGAACGCAAGGTTTTAGCTCCTCTTGAAAGAATTTCAAACTAAATTCAAGTCAAAGTGAAATGAGTGGAGGTGAAAAGGAGAAGCTGCACCACAGCTGGAGTTAAATCTCAAAACACTGACACCCCCACAGCTCTGACTTTTACTCATGATTGTGAGTTCTGTTTTCGTGTTTTGAATTATCTTTCCTTTTTAATTCTTCTCTCTGCGCTCTGTATCAATACTCAGGCATCTTCCCAGCCAATTAACTGAGCTGACAAGAGTGTTAACAGCATAATTCAGGGGGAGAAGTGGGGGAAGTGTCGTCTGCTGAAGGCTGAATTCAGAAACCTCAGAGCTTCCTTTCAGTGCCAGATTTTCTTTTTTTTTTTTTTTTTTTCTTTCTGTCTACCTCCCAGCTTGGTACCAACCTCCTAATCCACTTAAAATTCTCTGCTTTGTTTCAAAGTCATCGTTTAACTAATTATACTCTGCGTTTTTAATTAACCAAAAGAGTGAAATGCTGTTCAGAGTCCTCAGAGTCGCTCATTCACCACTGCCTCTTTGGGTTTTTTGGCACATTAAATAGTGTTTATGATCAAATGCATTTCTTTTGATGAATGCGTGTTTGTCCCAGGTTCCATTTCAGATGTGGGCGCAGTGTAATGTCTCATACCCGCTGAAGGCGTCTCTTTTATCAGCAGTGTTTAAATCATTCGGAATTATTCAGCTCCATTAGTCCTTCCTTTCCTTCCCCTCCCTCCTACTCTCACACCTTCTCCTCTTCCTTCCTTGCCTCCAACTCGGTGTTGATTTCTCCAGTTTCTTCCACAACAAAAGGACCTGACGAGATCTGTGTCAGTCACCTTCAGGTTTTTATTTTGGTGCCAAGAGAGTTTAAATGTCCTCGCTCACTGTTCACCAGGCTGCACTCGACGTGTTGCATGTACTGTCCAACCGTTCAGATTAAAACTTTCTGAAGCAGAACTCGAGGGAAAGTTTTCTCACCACGTCAGGTTATGATTTTAATACAATGTGTTATTGTTTCATCAACAAATGAAAGATAATTGATCATTCTGATTACAAGAGGTTTGTGGAGTAAGTTCTTCCACAGTCTCACTGAAATTTAGACAAGAACCAGCAACAAAACATGGATGCAGGATGCCGACCTTTACCGATCCCCCTGTTTAGCATTTTATATAAACATTTACTAAATGGTTGAACAGACTATAACACACTTATACACTATAGTAATTACATATAAGGACACTTCTAAATGTTTATTAATGTAAAATATTTGCTTTAACATCTCCTAGAAAAACATTTTTTATATTATTACAATAGTTTTTTTTAAATTATATGTTTATACAGCAGCCTCCAGCTTCAGTTTCCCACAAGTGGAGTTAGAGTTGTTAAGAAATCTATGAATAAAAATGACAGTATATCTGCTCAGAACTGCATAATAAACTGTTATTAAATGTTTAAGGGACATATGTTTATGTTCCGTCCAATAAGGACGCTTAAAGTAAAGTGTGACTCATTTATATGGATGTGTAACATTATAAAGGCCTGTTAAATTCAGCTATCTGATATTTCCATGTGCAGGATGTCAACCATCTGCTGTAAACCGTCCAAATCTGCCCCCTTCATCTCCACTGTAGGATTACTACCGCATTAATGTTCTCTGTAATGACCAGATGAGCTGAAACAATTAGTCAATTAATTAATAAGTTGATCGACAGAAATTTAATCACTAGCTACTTTGCTAATTGATGAATCATTTCAGTCATTTGTAAAGCAAAACTATCAATCATGTCAGAGGGTTCCAGGTTCTCAAACATGATGGTTCAGTGCTTTATTTTTATCACGAGTATGGTCACAAATTCATCAAAAAGTGGGAATGAATTATATCTTGTACGTACTCAATAGCATTTTGAGAGCTCAGTGTAATAAAACATGGGGTCTTTATATGGACTTTTTTTTCTCTCTTTTCGACCACTCAGGGGCTCCGTACTTTTATAGAAACAGATTCATTTGAAAGGCTTTTGGTTTTGAGCTGCTGCTCAAATAAAACAAGATATTTCAATATTTCACCTTGAGCTCTGGAAAGTTATTTTTCTGTATTTCTTAATACTAGAAAATAGGCTGTTTAAGAACCATCATAATTAAACAGCACAACCTGTAACCATGGTGAGCAGTAATCAGCAAAGATAGCAGCTGGAGGTTGAGAAAAACTTAGAGGAAATGAAAATTATAAATGTGATTGAAGTTTCACTTTCTCAACTAATAGAGTCAGCCCAACACTAAGCCCCCCCCCACCCCCCACCCCCACCCCCACCCCCACCCATCTATTCCCACCCGTCTTCCCTCGCTCCTCTGAGGATTTAGCAGTGTCTCTGTGTGTAGTGTGTCACGGAGCTCAGACAGGTAGCAGAGGTAGTTTATAGTCCTGGATGGCAGCGCAGTAAGATGTCAGGTGTCTTGTCAACAGGTAGAGGCTGCCGACAAGCTGATTTCCATTTCCTTCTCTTTCCTTTTCTTCTGCCTCCTGTCAGTCCTCTCTCCTCCCTCCATCCGGTGTTTAGGTTCAGAGAGAAGAGACTTCTGAGGACTTCTCCCTCTTTAGTTTAACTGACACTGACAGCAGGGCTTCAGTTAACTGTAGCTGTTATTACTGATTAGTCAGAGTTTTCTGCCATTCAGTTTGACAAATATCAAAAATATTGACCACAAAAAACCTCAACTAGAGACTGATGTACAGATTTCTTATTTAGTCTAAACCAGCATCCAAAATCCCCAAAATACAGTAGAATGACGTTGACAGACTTTTATCTACAGATAACAGACAGTTGTAGAGCAATCCGGGCTTCAGCATCTTACTCAAGGTACACGGAAATAAGCCGAGGATCAAACCACCAATGCTACAGCTGATGGTCCACGCTCCCGCTCCACAGCCTGACCTACAGCAGCTGACAATGATCTGGTTTACGTTATTGATAATGACAACACACACGGAAAGCAAGCAGAGGTCTCAGTGTTTTACACTTTTACTAGATATACATGACATTGTGTTGATCCATTCATCTTAATTCACTGATGTTACCAGACGCCGCCATTTTTATACACAGGCCCGAAATATAATGTTCTCAAAATAAAAAAGGTTAGTGTTGGTCAACTCTTTAGATAACAGTCGTAACCACGGTCTCTTTTGAAAGCTAACTAAACCAAAAAACTTGGCAACTTGTCATGATCATGTAAAACAGCCGCAAGTCTGAAGCAGCAGCTGTTGCAGTGATGTGGAGCTTAAAGAGCTTTGCATAGATAGAATCAAGAGAACTGGAGCTGGGGAGGAGTATTTTAAAAG